TACCTACCAGCTGGACAGGAACACCAGTGGTAAGGGAAAATAGTATGATAGAGAAAAGCAAGATGGCGAGGACGATTTTAAAAAAGGTGTCAGTTAATTTATAATTACAATAATAGAAAAGATTTGCGATGACAACAATAAAGCTGCAACAGTGGAATAGTTTTATTTTACGCGACACGATCCAAATTCAACATAAATGATACTAGATTGACACTCGAAATAAGAGATAAAAATCGTGCCAAACGTAAGTCCTTCGCGATATATCATTACAACGGCCCTAGATATTGAAAGATTCATACTGGGTCGTCATGAATACCTATTGAGTTACTGCGCGACTCCGAAGCTCGAAAGTGTAGAACTGTCATCGTTTATCTTCGAAATGAATGTATTGAATTAAACCTAAAGCCGTAGCGTATTGGAATTGGAATTGTGAAGTTTCACTGGGTTGAACGGAGGCTCTAAGACGGTCGGGATCTGTTTTAGTACAATTAATTTTGGGAAGAATAATATCTTGGAGATAGCTGTTTGAGTTTGTAATTGGAAACATAATAGTTTTTTTTTAATTAATATTATCTGAGGCTAAGCTTAAAGTTAAAGGCTAAAGTTGTGTTTCATAATAGAAATGACTGTTGAGTAAAAGAGAAACGAATCATCATTCATCATTATTATCCTGCCTTTCTCCCAGTCACCTGGAGTCGGCGCAACATGTTTTCTCCTTCCATACTTTTCTATCATATATCATTTCTTCGCTCACTCCCCTCTTACCCTTATCGTCTTTCACGCAATCCATCCATTTCTTCTTAGGTCTACCTCTTCCTTTATATCCTTCCACATTCATAGTTAACATTCTCTTACCAACCTCATTTTCATTTCGTCTTATCACATGTTCATACCATCCCAAACGCACACTTCTAAGCTTCTCTGTCACAGGTGCCACTTTCAGACTTCCTCTAACATAATTATTCATTGAATATTCTATCCATTCTCGTTATTCCACACATCCGTTGCAATATTCGCATCTCTGCTGCATACAATCGCCTTTCATCCGCCACTTTAGTTTAGAAGAGAAACGAATGTGATGTGTAAATTCATGACCACTTTCTAGTTGGTAAAATTCAATCAATGATCTCATAGGACTTCAAATACGACAGCATTCTAGGTAAGTTACGGTCGTGCAGTTTGCTCATTGCTCTTTTGCTAATCACATAGTTGTAGTTTTTTTTGCTTAAAATTTATTGACAATCTACATCCTTATTTAATTAGATATTTGTTTTGAGTCATCCCCGACACTAAGCTTTTGCCTGTTCAAAATTTACCAAATTACTGATCATCATCACCATCATCATTTGGGGCACTACATCCACCGCTCTGCCTGACACAGTCAGCCGGATTTATTCGTTGCTTTCCCTTTCTAACTTATAACCACTTAAGTCTTGGTGTCTTGTTCAAACCTGTCCATCAGAGATTCGGCCTGCCCTTACTTCTGCGACCTTCTTTCTTGTAAAATACTGATGCTCTATATTAATTATCGTCTTCTAAGAGACATCCACTGACTTCCACGAGAATAAAATTTATCATTAACCTTCCTGACGACGTTGGCTTTGCACTAATAAACGTCAAACCCACTTGAAAGTTCGCCTCAATATACAAAGCTGCTACCACCTCGCTGAATATTTAAAAGCGATCGCTTTGTGCTTTGTTAATATTATTTTTGCTTGTAAAAGCTACGCTACTGAGAAATGTTATATTCTAAACCTTTATCAATAGGATCGGAATATTTAGAGAGGGAAACACCATAATATTTATGTATTTTGTTGGGTAGTCAACCTGATATTAATTTAATGTTGTAATTTAATATATACCTACATTAAATTGTAATATTATAGATTTTCTTATGATTCGTCCACTGGTGCTATGTTCGCGGGGCTTGACTTTTACATTTTGTGAAGTGTTCCAGAAAAATGGTTCCTGCTGCAATACTACTAAACGTATAGCAAATTTAAATATTGTTTATTTCTATGTAGATCAGCATATGAAGCAAAGATTTGGTTGCAACGATCGCTGACTCAAAATATCATTTAAAAAATTTAAATATTGTTTATTTATATGTATATCAGCAAACGGAGCAAATATTTCATTGCAATGATCGCTGACTCAAAATATCATTTAAAGATATAGTTGGCATTATCAAGCTACCGACTTCCTTAAAAATTGAAATTCTCGTTTTTTTTTATTGCTTAGATGGGTGGACGAGCTCACAGTCCACCTGGTATTAAGTGGTTACTGGAGCCCATAGACATCTACAACGCAAATTCGCCACCCACCTTGAGATATAAGTTCAAAGGTCTCAGTATAGTGACAACGGCTGCCCCACCCTTCAAACCGAAACACATTACTCTTCACGGCAGACATAGGCAGGGTGGTGGTACCTACCCGTGCGGACTCACAAAAGGTCCTACCACCAGTGAGATTATAAGTAAGTCCTATCACCAGTAAAAATAAGAAGGCCTCTCATGATTTCCCGGAAACCAATCCCGGAACAAAGTCTCGCACTCGGTACGCTTGATAAGATCGTGTAAACTTGCTCTACAATAAGTCATTATAGCTAATTATATTCTACGACGTGACACAACAGGAAGTTCCACAATTCGCCCACAACTGTTATAATTTCACTCATTCAACGTTGACGCACGTATCGGACTATTGTGACCGGTAAGGAGCGGTTTTATAATCAATCACACCACGCTCTAGAGTACCACGAGCCAAAATTGCGAATGATCGCATCGAAAAACAGACGCGCATTGAATTTTAAGCGTCTAAGCTATAAAATGTTCGTGTTGTTTATAAATGGCGCCATGGACTTTGTTAATGGCGTGTGAGCTCTTTAAATCGAGGCTTCCATACCATAGCTCAACATTTTTAATTTGGTCATTATTTATATATTGTACTAGCCGTACTCGTCTGCTTCGCTGGACATTTAAAATTAACATTATTATTTGTTGTCATTATTATTAAGGAGTCCAACACTCATATAAATACTAGCCTATCCATTAAGTACATGTATTTTCTACGTGGATACCAAGTTTCAAGTCAATCGGATGCACGGTTCAGTAGTTATAACGGAACATCCGTAAAAACCACTGTAGATTTGTATATTAGTATAGATTCATTANGTCGGTGGTCTGAGTCGAGTTCTGACATTGCCTCGATGGAGCGTAAGCGCAGAGTTACGTTCCTCAGCAGTGCCAGATCTATTGTGCTCGGACGACGCGCGGCGTTGTACGGATAGTACGTGGGGGTCGGGGGGTTGAATATTTCGAATGTGAGGTCGTCTATGAACGCGTCGAGACGCCTACCGTTCACATTCGTGCGTAATGATATCAATTTACAAACTAAGCATCGAGATCATCTTCCCAATATACACCAAAGTTTACTCATGTAGTAAAAGTTAACAGACTTGTAGGGCTTGATAACTGTTAGCGTATAATCCAATTGTGCGGTCTTGAAGTCACTGAAGTCACTACTCAAATTTGTTTCGCAAAATTAATTGTTAAGGTTACCGAACGTGGTAAAGATACAATTAAACATAGAGGTGAATAAGAGCAAAGGATTTTGTTAAATAAAATCTTCCATTTATATCGGATGGCTTATTTAAAATAAAATAAAAATAAATAATAGCTTAAAAAAAACTACAAAAATACACTTTTGTAGAAAACGCAACTAAAAAATATAATTTAAAACTAAAAAAACTAAAATAAATTTTATTAAATTTGAATTAAAAATAGTGTAAGAAAAAATGATTTTATTTAAAAAAAAAGCGTAAGCTGGTATAATCTCAATCAAAATATTTTTAATTCAAAATGTATTAAAATATATTTTCTATTTTTTATTTGGACCTTATAGAAAAGCGTATTTTGTTTTTTTAGCTATTATTTATTTTTAATTTTTTAGTTGAATTTCCATTTTTATTTTTCAAAAGTTTCATCTGAGCCAATCGGTAACTTATCCGAGAAACAGGTGATCGGTGTGCCTGGTAGTTTCCCTTCTTGGTCTTGACGCAAACACTCCGAGTCTCAGGCAAACAAAAAAACGCTAATCCTGATTATCCTAATAAGGATAACGGATCAAACTATTTAAAATATTGAATTATCATCGGTCCTTAATAAGTATGCCAAACTTCGAGTTAACCCCACGTTTTGAAGGGGGTGAAAATCATGTTCAAAGATTCCGCTACATACTAATATACGTATGAAGCTATATATTAAAAGCGTATTAATAAATAGCGGAGTCAATATGAAGATGTTTTGCAGTTGAAAATTAAGAATATTTTAATATTTACTGTAAGTAGTATTTACTGATGGTACGACCTCTAGAGTCCGCACGGGTAGGTACCACCACCATGCCTATTTCTGCCGTGAAGCAGTTATGCGTTTCGGTTTGTAGGATGGGGCAGCCCTTGTAACTATACTGAGACCCTAGAACTTATATCTCAAGGTGGGCTGTGAGATCGTCCACGAATCTAAGCAATAAAAAAAAAGATGTGTGGTGTCGTGGGACACCGGATAGGAACGAAGTTCCTGATTATAAAAATATTAATTTTAAGTTATATTCGAGGTATAAAGAAAATAAAACTAGAGGTTTCACAACAACCCACGGTCATTCGGTAGCGTGCGAACTTATTGTGGTACACTTCATTCACGGTTGTTTGCATAAGAGTTAGTGTATTGCGCAAACGAACGCTCTGAGATCGTGATCAGTGAATGATAAAAAAATATGTTATTTTTTGTACGTTATAACAAAGTTAAGTCGTACACTTTGTGCATTACTAATAAAAATCTTACGTTACGGACGCTTTTTGCCGGTTAGGGTACCCCTCCGCATCGTTCCATAAGAAACTTCGCTCCAATAAAAAAAAAGTATATAATATGAAATATCCCGAACAATGACAGGCGACAGCGAATGTAGTTGACGGACATGTCAATCGAGAATTATGTACTTACCGAAGGCGCAGTTAACAGTTGCAGGGCTTCACTTAGATGCTTAAGCGTCAATGTGTTGCGTTCGTTGTCTTCTTCCTCGGGGCCAGGCAGGTGCACTGACGAAGTGCGGGAACGAAACTCTGGCCTCTTGCTCGTCGAGCCGGCGCCATTTGCGAACTGATGTTGCGACGAGGCGCGTCGGAACGGACACGTCATTTTTGAATTTCGAATTGAGGTTATTCGATTTCGAACGTCAAGTCATTTGATTTTCAAATTCCACACAGCGCCAGTATTGTTTTCACTCCATCGCCTGTAAAGAAAAATGTTTGCGTTTCAGAAAAATATATACCTACATGTATTATCTCTATTGAATTAATTGTGGAAGTCCAAAGAAGGTTTAAAATGTAGATAAATATGAATATGCTTAGAATTATATAAAACTAACAATTTTGTTTTTCCTTTGATGTGTCCCCCGTCAGACCGATCGATTCCTTTGTTTGTTTTAAGTTTATTTTATAAAAATGTTTAGGTCTTTTATTTATCGATTGAGGCACTACAAAGTCTGCCGGATCAGCTAGTTAATTAATAAAAATTTAATATCTAAAATTGCAACATAATTATATATCATTAGAGTTTATTTACCTATTATATTACAGTTTTAAATTCTCATCACGAAATATATAGTTGTAGAGGTATACTGTGTAGATTCAAGGCAGTGAAACAGTTATAAATCGTAATATGAATAGCGTAAACCATTAGAAGCCGATCTCGCCAAACAAACTAATCGTAAACAAACAGCTTAATCTGAATACACACAGAACTACAATATCAATTCAGTGTAAATTTCTCTTAGACTCGGCATAAATTTACGAACAAAGGCCGAACTTGGAACATTAGTTTAGAAATAAACTATTATTTTATTTGTTTTTCGTTACTCTGAATATGAAAGTAACATGTGAAGTTCATTTTAGCGTGGAAAAAAATAAAAAGCATATAAGAATCACGATGAAATTACAAGTTTTTTTTTTGTTTTTCACCATTCTTTATATTCGCATTATTGCTACGATATTCATATCTATAAACTTAAAATAAAAAAAATAATGTCCCATAAATGGATATTTTATTGCCATCGACATAGACATCTGATCTGAAGAAGGCTAAACGTATGAAAACTGAGCATCGTAATTAGAAAGAGTCAGTGGTGAATGAAATTCTTTATCATACCTTCATCTGACAATCCTTTCAGGAATACATCTTTCTATTTGACAATATTCTTATTCAAGTCTTAAGTATGGTGAGAATTTCATCAAACTCTGTCCTCAAAATCAATAGAACAACAATTAGAATTAGAGAAATAAAATCACTTACACGTGGTAATTTCATTTTTTATTAAATTCTGTGCATAGACAAATAAGCGCATAGACAAGCTATCTGATACTTGCCGATGACATAAAATTTAATATCTAAGTAACAAAAGTGTTATTACATCTTCAAGAATACCTAGTTTAGATACGAAACGTAAATAGCGGAACAAAACATTCAAGGACACGTAACAAAAAAAAAATTAGAACAATAGAATGAATGGAGTCAATGTCGATATAAATGATGCATGAGACAATCATTAAGACATTGATCGTGAATACAAATCGTTCTATTTTTAGAAAATAATTGATTCATAGTAATTGTTTTTGCATTGTGATAAACGAAGTATTGCTTAAGGGTATCTATCATTGGTGACACTAAATTTTTTTTGAAGCTATACGATTTGTATAGCTAAGATAAACTTAGTCATAGAGAAATCAGGTCTTATTTTTACACTGCATATTATTATGCCAAAATAACCCATAGTATACATAATATATGAACTTCAGTATTTGTAATCATGTTATGAAGTTAAAGTTTATCAGAATCCTATCACATAATTATGTGTGTGGGTAGTTTCAAGAAAGCGTGCTTAATTTTAGAACGCCAGCTACCCCGTTTGCCTTTTTGCCTGTCAATTGACATTTCATTAGATAGGTAGATAGTACCGTCAGAGCAGGTAGCTCTAGCGCTCTACGTTTAGTCAAATCGGTCTTAAGTTCATCACATCATGTCTAGGTATGGTATTCATACAATATCCACCCATGTATCTAGTAAAATCTAAATACGTGAGAGGGGAAACTAGATTTTTGGTTTAAAAAAATTAAAAGTAATTTCTAAGCAGGTAATCTTCACATATGAATATAATTACGATTTTTTTTGGCATCATGTAACCTCTTGTGAGTCCGCGCGGGTAGGTAGCACCACCATGCCTATTTCAGCCGTGAAGCAGTTATGCGTTTCGGTTTGAATAAGTAGGCGTTTCCAAATTTCTTAGGGCAAATGACATAGATATGTCAGATATGTTGCTCAGATGAGCAATGAAAAAAAATCGAATCTTGATCGTTTGCTGGAACGAATTTCCTTATAGGACGATGCGGAGGGGTACCCTAACCGGGAAAAAACGTCCGTAACGTAAGATTTTTATTAGTAATGCACACAGTGTACGACCTAACTTTGTAATAACGTACAAATTACTAGTGCACACAGTGTATGACTTAACTTTGTAATAACGTACAAAAAATAACATATTTTTTTATCATTCACTGACCACGATCTCAGAGCGTTCGTTTGCGCAATACACTAACTCTTATGCAGATAACCGTGAATGAAGTGTACCATAATAAGTTCGCACGTCACCGAATGACTGTGGGTTGTTGCGAAACCTCCAGCTTTATATTCTTTATACCTCGAATAGAACTTAAAATTAATATTTTTATATTAACGAACTTCGTTCCTATCCGGTGTCCCACGACACCACACATCTTTTTTTTTTAATTTTTTCCACCTTTGAGGTATCTAAGCACTTCCGCACAGTATTTCTTGGTTATCATTAGCATTCAGGTATCGTCTTGACCCGGCAAATCGATCGAGCGAAGCTTGCACTGAGCCTTGCTTGGAATGTTTGATTTATACTGTAACTGTTTGATGTATTTCGGAAATCATTTTCGATTGAATAACTCAATTCGATTATGCTTTTTGACAATTGATTGATAGATGGTATTCAGAGGTTTTCTTGGGTTTTCAAATCAAGATAGATGAATGTTTTGTTTTTATTTGATTTTCATAATGGACAAAAACATTCGAACAAAGAGTTTGTCTTAAGTTATGCATCGCTAATGGAATTCCGTGTTCGGGGTCACTGAAAATATTAGAGAAGGCTTACGATGACATAACCAAAATAGTGGACGCTCTCAAATATGCTCAAAGATTGAAATTTAAGGGGGATGGCCACGTAGCACGACTCGGGGATGGGAGATGGGCATGGGACGGTCCACAGGGCAAGCGGCGCGTCGGTAGACCGTACACGCGTTGGGAGGACGACATTAGAAAAGTTGCCGGACCACACTGGATTTATGTCGCCAGAGACAAAACAAAATGGAAATCTTTGGAGGAGGCCTTTACCTGAGAGAGGTCTATGCATATAATATATATACTAAATATACAAAAAAAAATGTAATTGCATGGAATAAAGGGCTTTATTATTATTATTATTACGATGAATCGACTTTATCAAAAACACGTGCTTATGAGTGGTACAAGGGTTTAATAGCGGTCGAGATGTGATGGAAAATTTGCCTCGAAAATCTTCCTTGAAATTTGAACTGCCGAGCTTTCTGTGTCTCACGAGTCGATCTGTATACCATTTTAAATAATTACTTGCATATGAAACTTGTTGCCCGTTCGGCTTGATCCAAAAGGCCTGAATTCACTCAAAAAATTCAATCGCTTAAGAGTTGCTGAGGACATGCTAGAATAAGTCAATTCCGACCCAAAATTCATGCAACGCGTTGTTATTGGTGACATGACGTTCACGAATTTTACATGCACACTAATCAACAAACTTTGAAGTGGCGCCTTCCAGGTGAATTAAAACTGGAAAAACCACGCCAATACGATGAAAATTCAAAATCACTGTTAACTGTTTTCCTTGATTATTGCGGTATTGTGTACTCGGAATTCTTGCCGGAAGATCAAACAGGAAATAAGTAATATTATTTGAGCGTTATACGTAACTATGTATCTATAGCTCTTTGATTATTATACGTTTAAAAGGCGTTTTGATGTTTGGTTTATTCGTTTGCCGTAAAAGAAGTGTGTTTTGAAGAAGCATACTTTGCAGGTAATAAAATAAATTAGAATGAATAACTAACATTTTTATTAATTAGTAGCTGACCCGGCAGACTTCGTAGTGCCTCAATCGATAAATAAAAGACCTAAACTTTTGTATAAAATAAATTTAAAACAAAGAAAAGGAATCCGTCCGACGGGGGACACATCAAAGGAAAAACAAAATTGTTATTTTTATTTAATTCCGAGCATTTTCATATTTATCTACCTTCCAAACCTTCTCTGGACTTCCACAAATAATTCAAGACCAAAATTAGCCAAATCGGTCCAGCCGCTCTCGAGTTTTAGCGAGACTAACGAACAGCAAATCATTTTTATATATATAGGTATAAGTATAGATAGATATATATAAGATAGATTTTCCCGGTATTTTCTTAACAGAGTAGTTCGTTTGATTATTGACGTGTATTAAAACAATAATTCCGGAATTCAATCGAAAACTACCTATTAAACTACTACTAGTACTAATTTTACTTACATACTATAGCTACAATAATTTAACAGCCTATCTTTAACAATGAAAGCGTATTTCAATCAAGTATATTATATATTTCAAAAAAAATAAACACACATAATAAAAGATGTCGAGAAAAACGTAAAAATTTTATCCGATACGGTGTTGATAAAGCAGGCGCATGTCGTAAAAACTGGAGTTAGGGGCACATTTCATTCGCCTTATGATATCTCGCCGTCAACCGGGTGCATTCACATAAAAGGCGACTCATAGCAGATCAAGTTTGGTAGATCCATTTCATATATCACTACCGCAGAGTCAAGTGCTTTCTGCCCTGCCCAAGAAACCACTCTGTATATTCTTCGTTTAATCATGAGTCCTAACTAATGAATATAAGGCCTTGCCTTTCCACAACTGGTCTCATCTTCATGAACTCAGCCAACGGCAGTTCAATCATCTCGAATCTATCCAGAAATATATGAAGTCAGCGTCGGAACGGTACTTCGATAAGGCTATGCGTCATGATAATCGCCTTATCGTTGCCGCCGCTGACTACTCCCCGAATCCTGATCACGCAGGAGCCAGTCACCGTCGACGCCCTAGACACGTCCTTACAGATCCATTAGACCCAATAACCTTTG